CATATATATATATATACATGGTTATTATAAAATATAATAAAATATAATATGGATTATATGCGGTTTTCATTACAGTATTACATTTTATTCCTTCATAACACAACTAAGTTGAGCGCATCACATACCCCTGTCATGAACGATGCATATGGAACAAATATTCAGCTTCCTGCATTTCATAATTAATTTCACTCGATCCCAGGTACCCACTTAGTTACCCCTAGGTGGAGAGACGATGATGGAAAGTGCCTTGCCTAAGACCTCAAGCGACATGCACGTCCCTCGACTTCAATTTTGAGAATTCCAGCCACAATCATTACGCCAAATGCCCCGGCTAATGCATTATGACGTAATACGCTTTACATTCCACAATGTTATATGAATATATAAACGATTTTATGTAGAAAGGATTAACCTCCGATACTACTGAGATTAACAGCTTACTACAGATTAATGGTATTAATAACCTGTTTAAATGTGTAAGCTTATTCTGCCTCCTCAAGTATATTGCCGTTGCTGCCGATGTAATTTATCGTTATGGGATTTTTGTTAATCTTCCTTGAGGTATTTAGACGTAACTCTATATCAAAATGAAAACATTAATTTGAAACACTTTAGTTTATTTACAAACGATTTGCTTCAAATGCTAACATGTCATGCGTCACCTAATGATTACATAGACTTCAATATCGATCTTAGTACTCGAATACTGCTTGAACGCATTGTTACTGGTGCATATTTTCAAATCACATAAACAGTAGAAAGGTAGGCCTAGGCTTGGCCAGCTCTCAATGGAATCTTTAATTCATGTGATAAAACTGACCAACGAAAACGTGTGTCGGCTTTACATGGTGTTCTCTATAAACCGCTCTCATTATTATTTTATAATAAAAATAAATAAAACTAGGCTTAATAATGATAATAATGACGATAATGATGTGGATGATGTTGATGGTGGTGATGACGGTGATGATGATGATGATAGTAATGGTGATGATGATGATAATGATGATAGTGATGGTGATGCCAATATTAGATGGCCAGCAATTGCTGAGGCAATATTGTTAAATGGTTTACGATGTCTTGCTGGGTCTATACGAGGTAGGTCTGACAGAAGGATGAGTTAAAGCAGGTGTGATATTGACTTCATTTTGTTTTTTTGTTTGAACCTTCAATACAGGCCTACATAATAACCTAACCCATCCTCGCTGATGGTAATGATAGATGAATCGTGTAAGCATTGTAAACAAAATAATTGAGTTTATTTGGTAAAACAGGAAAAGGCAACAAACAAAACGAATAAGATAAATATTTACGCTGCCTACCCTTTTCTTGTTACATTAAAATTTTAATACGCAAAAGTTCATTTTTTTCTACATAGAAAATCGAGTGATTTTTTTTTTGCATTAATATATATCTTATGATTTTTATTTCCATCTGTCTATACTGAAAATAACGATAAGACGGAGAAACTTCATACTAACTTCCCTTCTGGGATTGTATCAAATAATTTATACACATGAATATTCATCAGGTAAGGTCTGTTCCTTGCTCATTATTGCCCATAGGATATTAGAATATATCAAGGTAGCTGATTATAAAGACCCCTGTCTGCAACTTTTTTAGATGGTTTGTTCTTGAAATGAAATCAGAATTCGTAGTTAAGCATAATGCCGATTATTTCTAATTCTATTCGATTAACGAGGAAGATGACAGGCTAATGAGAATTATGTTTTTATTATGTTATTCTCGGAGGAGTACGGTATCGCTATTCTAATGATGGGTATTTAACATCACACACTGACATTTAAGTTTAATAATGTGATGTTCTTCTATAAAATATCGAATGTCTGCTTGCAATTTAAATGTCAAATATTGAAGCAACTCTTCTAAATAATGCGCAACATTTTAATGAAAAATATTGTTTTAAAACGCATTAGAGAAAATTGTATAAGTGAAAGAAATACACATAGGCCTATTGTGGCTTAAAATAAATAATATGTAGCACACATTACTATTACTATTAATGATAATAGTAATCCTGTTATATATATATATATATATATATATAATAAAATTATTAAATACATTAAATATATAAGATAATAACTACATGTAAATAATTGATGATGTAAATATAAAAAATAAAAATAAATTAATAATGGACAATGATTAGTAAATTTACGGGTGACAAGTCAAGGAATAAATATACTTTATGTATTAAATTTAATAAATCTAACGGTCAAGGGTCAAGATTATATTTTTTCAGAATGAAGGAATGAAATGTAAATTACAATTCACCGTTTTTACAATATTTTTAAACCACCTTAGGCGCACCAATGAAGTCATTTGATAACAACTCAGGTTATGCCGTCATAATGTACGGTAGCTCTTTTCTTCGCTGTTTATGTTCAATTATTAAATGCATGTCAACTGCTTAGCTGCAGATTATTAATTAGATTGTATGTGGAAATCTGTGTTACCCATATTTTAAGTTTTATATCTGCTTCTGTTAAGTTGATTTAATGCTTTCTACATTTGATGGAGTAACAATTAACTTTCAACATATTTTATCTTACCTTACTCTAACCTTATCTTATTTTATCTCATCTTATCTTATCTCGTCATATCAAATCTTATCTTATATTATCTTATCTTATATTATCCCATTTAAACAAAATAGGCCTATACAATAATGCGTATGCCATTGCACTTTGATACACATTATTAGACATCCAACGAATTAAATATGTATAATACAAGTGTATCTATCCACAGCCAACTAAATGCTGTTATATAATGGAGCATTTTCAGTGGCAGATTCGGGGAGGGGGGCGGGGAGCCGGCCCGGGTGGCCCTACATTTTTCAAAATTGTAAAACAGTGGAGAAAAATTATAATGGAATTCAGGTCTTCGTGAGAGTGATATTTCCGGTGATCTGTGGTGCCATAACATAAATTTTCTTACCTCAGCACCAACCCCCAACCCCCAACCATGGTTGTGTTGAGGTGGACTAGTCTCTCATTCTGTGAAAGTCCCTCCCTGGGACCCCTCTATTTAGATTGCTGTATCCGCAAATCTAATTCTCTAATCTAAAATGCGTGCGAGTGCAATTCGATAACAAACACTGCACAGCGATCGCAACACGTGAATCGGCAGGAAAACATTGGAAACGCATCTCGTTTCAAAAGCCCGTAAAACACAACAGGCAACAACGCCATCATACCTCCATGGTCTGATGTACCAAATAAACGAAAAACACAACGGTCAACAGATTTGTAAAACACCTACCGTACGATACATGTTTGTATTTATAGAATGAATTTCTACGTTTATTTCGTTTAAATTGTATACCAAAGCGTTAACTCTTTTGATTTCAATTCTTTACTTTCAAACCGTGACATATATTATCAACAAGCTTTAATTTTTTTAAACGAGTGTGTCATCAATAATCAGAATAATTGACGTTAAAGAGAATTGGCAAATAAACGAAACAAATTGCGACGGCCTACCGCTCCATTATTCTATTAGCAATGGAAGCTTGTTGAATATTTAGCTCGTAAATTTCTTAAGGAACACGAGCACTGAGAATATTAGGCTGATCAACACCTCCTTGAAACTAGACAGATCTCGCAAACAAACCCATATGACTAGTAAATGTGGGTAGATGTACACTATCCTGGTATCCTCCTACTTTGTTTTTCTTTTTTACAAAATATGTTTGATGTACAGTATCTAAAAACGTCAAACGTTCTACTGTAATTTTTTTGTCTTAAAAGCCTCTTTAAAATTTGCCACACCCTTTGTTTTTCTTTCAACTCAGCACAAACCATGGTGGGACTAGGGTGGATGTGGACTCTTATGGTAGTTTACCCCTTTCTCAAAAAGCGAACAATTACGAATATGATTATAAAATACGGTAACTTGAAACTTGTTTTATAGTTTATAGCACACTAAGTAATAATTATTATGTCGGCGGTAGTGGACCTTTCCTATCATTTAACATTATTTCTACCTCTCCATGTTATACTTTACTTTAGGAGTCATTCGGGTGTCAGCATTCTTCACCAGAACACAAGGAACGAATAATAACTACTTACAGATGATAACACAGTACAGCAGTTGGTAAAAATGATGACAAAGAAAAAATGTATGATGA